GTGCTTCTCTGGACTCAAATGTATCTCTGACAAAACGGTTTAATTAACATTCATGAAGTCAGAATCTAGAGGGGGTCCACTCCTCTTCCTCCTCCAGGTTCTTCAAACTGGTTTGTGTATGTTTAGTGTTTTCCTCACACCAACAGCTCTCTGCACTCATTCTTATGATGCATTCATCACTGATCTACCTGACAGTGTTTTTTAACGTTTACAGTTTTGTTAAATGTATCACTCTCTTCATGTCCCCTATTTTTTTTTAAAGCAGGATCTGCCGTCATTTCCTGTTGTGTGTTTTTACTCCACTAGATGTCACAGTGGTTGAAGCAGCCGTGAGGTAGCGCGTCACCATGATATTCCTGCACTTACTCTGACTAACCAAAGGGTGGTGCTCTTTCTCCTTAATGAGTCTGTCAGCATCAGCAGGAAACACAGACATCTTCCATCTGATCAAGAATTCGTTTTCAATTTGAGTTACTCTGAAGTCTGCATTCTGTCAAATAAAAAAATGAAGTTTATTTGTGACTTTATGCCTCTGGACTCTCTTCTGTTACACCTCTATCTCAGTGGAAAACTTCTTGCAGACTCAGCGAGAATTGAAATCCAGCAGAGGGAGGGAGAGGAGTCGATGAGTTCATACAGCAGCAGATATGTTTCTGTTCTCAGAGGTTATCAGGACTTATAAAACAATAGATGATCAAACACAGCAGACGAGCTCTGTGGGTTTCCTCTTTGCAGCCTCCTCCTCACCGTTATCTGAGGTTTTTCATATTAATAACACAACGACAGTTACAACCTTTGAATGTGGTTTAATAATTGTTCCAGGAACTTTAGTTTGTGCTGAAAACTTTCTCATGTCTAATCGTTGGTATTAATCTGTGAGAGAAAAACTGTTTTATAATGAACACGGAAACTGAGACACTGATAATGTGAAACTTCTCTAATAAGCTCTGAGATCACATTTAATCTTTAATGGAGTGAGCTGTTGGTGTAAAAATAAACAGAAGAGAAGGAGGTAGGAGGAGGGGAAAAAAGAGAAGAATGACATTAAAAAAAGAATCTTAACAATAATAATAAAAAAAATGTATATCCACTTTAAAATATTTAGCTGATAATACTGAAACCTGATGTAAGTCAGGAATTCTCATTTCCAAGATGTTTAAAAGGAACGATAACAGCAGACAGTATTGTCCCGTTACATGGGTCTTCATTTTGATTTCTTTTATACGACTACAAAAAAAGTAAAATGAGCCGTTCATTTAAAAGAAAAACCCAAAATGTTTTTGTTTTTTAAGTACATTTTCTAGAAACACAACTGGTTTATTGTGTGAGATTATAAAGGCACTAATGTCCACCATAAGAAAAGCAACGATGCTGTTGGATCAGGCCTGCAGTCACTGACCTCTATAATCACATTTAAAATCTAAAGAGATATTCTGAGTTTTAGTGAACTTACTTTATAATCTCAAGAACTCTGAGTTTGTCTTTGGAAATGTTCCCTTTTCTGTTTTTTGTTTGTTTTAGAATGGGTCTGATACGCCGTCGTACTTTTCTGCTGTCATGCGTGAAGCTCTTTGTTCTCCTTTGAAAAGAGCTACACGAATAGAGTCATAATTATATTTTTGTATTATGCACACGAGGTACCCTCCTTTTTTTGCATTACTTTGCGTTGCATTAGAATCATTCATCTTACATCTAAATGTAAAATGAAGCCATCGCTGTCACTTTTTGACACCCAATAAAACTGATTGAAATGCAATGAAATGAAGAAGGTCGGAGTCGAACCCTGGCCGCCGGCCTCGAGGGAAATAGCCCTTTACATGGTTCATAACCACTGGGCTACGCAGCAGCATGCACTGAAAACTAATAAAGTATAAAGTCGGGCTCAGAAGGTAAAGAGAAGTCTTTGTTCAGGATTCATTTTAAATCAAAACATTGTGTTGTTAATTATAGAAACGACACAACAATGTATATTATTTTTTATTTTTTTATTATTTTTATTGCATTTACTTTACAAAAAAACACTTTACAGGCGCACTGTGAACTAGCTAAAATATAAAATCACTATATTTTAAATACATGAGATCTTTAGTAACTTCCGCCTAAATTTGTGATTCTGTATTGAGTTGTTAAAAAACTTTATTGTAATTTAGCAGAAAAAAAGCAATCTATATAAAGTCCCTACCAAAACAAAAACATTTAAATCCTCCATAAACGAGAAAATAAAATAAGAAAAGCACACAGCATGTTTTGTGTATCTTTCAGCTTCAGCTCTCCACCGATGAAGCTGCTTGGTCATGTTTTGTTTCTACATGTAAACAAGAATATCATCAGCGTAGAGCGCTACATAAAACACTGACACCACCGTTTAAAGGGTCAACAGTAAACCTGCAGACAAATCAACACACTGAATTTTTACAAGTTTACTTTTCTTTGTGAGCTTTTTGTTCCTGGTCAATGTGTGTGCTTGTATTCATATCTTCCTGTACATTTTATTCTCTGTGGTGTGTGAAACTATAAAGAGAGCTTGTTACGAGAGACTGAGGGCCTGATTAATTAAGAAAGCATCTTAGCCGCTAATAGCTCTAAACATTGCGCATCATTTGCTAAAGTATTATACAAAACAATAACATTTACTGTATATAATATAGGATTTGTTTTACACTGCTGCAAAATGTTGTTTGATCATAATTGCATATATATAGTCATGATTGACATTTTTAAATTCATCTAAGCGATAAAGGAGATACATTTATGAGATGTTTCTGAGGACGGTCAGCAGGAAGAGTCCACAGCAGTACACCAGACTCTTCACTGTCAGCACTGTGTAGAGCAGCAAGAGCAGCTTCACCTTGTATGGAGACGGGACAGAGGGATCCGCTGCAGGTGATGGAACAGAAAAAGAATAAAATCATCAACAACGTCAGTCCTCTGTTTTTCTTTCTTTTAACAGAGTCACTAAATGAAGATGAATCTACGCTGCATAAAGTCACCAAAACCTTCATTACCTGTATCTATCAGAGCCTCCACTGTTCCCCCCTCGTGCTGCACGTAGCAGCTGTATTCATAGCTGAACTTTGTCTGATAGATCTGTAAGACGGAGGCAGTACATCCAGACTCTCTGAGCTCCAGCTGCTGTCCGTCAGCAGAGGGCAGCTCCTCTAAACATCCGCTCTCCGTTTGTCGTCTCCAGGAGATTCTGACCACAGGAGGAAACATGGCTGAGGCCAAACACAGCAGGGAGCTCTTCTCCTCCAGCCGGCCTCTGGATGCTGCCGGGTACACGCTCACCACGGGCTTCACCACCTGCTCCTCGTCTTTGAAAGAGAAACAAGTAACACACACAGAGTCAGCAGCATTAACGGCATTCAGTCTGATCCTAAACCTACATGAACTCTGGTCTCTAAAACACTCATGACTACAGCTCAGTAAAAATTAAGACACATTAATCATATCATCTCTATTATGGTAAATACATGAATCTGTTTATTAAAATAGCAGGTGTTGTCACAATAACATTTTAAGGGTTTAAAACATTTAAGTGAAATTAAATCCATAAAAATAAAAACAAAGTAAGATTATAGCAGCAATAGAATATCATTTTAAACTTTGTTATATTTTGTATTTATACATGAAATTATATTTTATCATGCTGTTTATAATTTCATTAAAATATATTTACAACTCTTATCGGGGTTTGAATAAAATCATGAATTACAAATTAACCTTCAAGAAAACTCTTTAATCATTTTGAATAAATTAAAAAATAAATATGTATGAATATATTTTAAACCATGTTGTTTACTCTAATTAATACAGATAAATAAAATCCATACAATAGTTATTTCAGAGTGTTTGTTATTTATTAAATATTCAGTTTTATGTTTAGAAATGTCAAATAAGGTCAAACTTGATTTACAAACTAAAGACAAAGGTTTCATAAATCCCCGAGAAGACATTTAAATAGACGTATGATAACGTGCGATATCAAACAACATATAGTTCAAATGATTGTCTCTGAAAAACAGTTTTTCCCTTCTGTATTAAATATATATAATGATATAAATGTGAATCATTTGAGCAAGTTTATTTGTAGATTCACACAGAGAAGAAGTCAACGTGTGATAACAAAGAGTGGGCTCTAGACCTGCTCTTTTTAAAGTGTCTTCAGATAACATTTGTTAGAAATCAGAGCCATACAAAGAAAGATTGATGAGTTGATTCACACAGTTCAAAACAGAGCACTAACAACATGTTCAAGTTTGAGCCCAACAATCATTGGTTTGACTATTTGATCCTTTTTAAAGCGTTTCATTCAAACAAAGTCTTTTTCTTCTAATGTGGCTTTCTAAGTCGTTAAAGATCAGAAACTCTTTGGAGTCGCCTCGTCAGTCGCACTTCTTGTCCTTAAACCTTGTTAGTTATTTTTAATGAACCTCTTATTGAGCCTCCAACTCTTTAAAGTGTACATTTAATATGGCCTTGAACCCTGATTACATTTAAAATATCATTTAAATATCTGTTTGAAGACACCATCAAATCAAATATAATTATTGTGAGCTTTATTTTACAGGTTTTTATTTCAGGATCATTCAAATGTTCTTTAAGATAAAGATAAGATAAGATATACTTTATTCATCCCAGCAGGGAAATTTAGGTGTTCCAGCAGCCAGCATACATACAAACACACAACACAACACATATATACATACATATCCCACCCATACAAAAAAAACATGAGTCCACAATACAGTTTGATATATGGTATATGCAACTCAGGCTAAAGTTTAAAAGTTTAAATGTCTTCTGTCCTTACTTAAAGGGGAGTCGTTATAAAGTGCAAAATTTATCGTTTTATTGTCGTTATAAATTTACAACATATGAAACAGAATAACAGAATACCTTTAACCTTATTTAACTTTATTTATGTGTTGAGATTTGAACATCTTAGAGGTAACATCTTTTCATGTCTCAATAGCTGCACGCCTTAAAAAAAATCTCCTCTTATTATAAAACTTTAATAGTTAATGACTCAAACAGGAAAAGGTAATTAAAGTTACATTTCAGACGACTGAAGGAAATCAAAGTTTATTCTTACCTGAAACAAAGAGTCTAGTTCCAGAGCCAAAGATCATATCACCCCTCCACAGTGAAAAGACGTGATACAAAAACCTGTCTGCTGGTGAACTACACAAATCATGAACCAGGATCAAACCTCAAACACATTTCTACTTCAGCGTCTCTTCCTCTTTTTCTTCCTCTCAGAATGTTTCTCCTTTAACGGTGATGTCTGTTGTTTCATTTGTTAAGTCCACAATGTTTGAACTGGAGCTGAAGGATGGATGAATGGACTGGTTTGAAGTGTGGTACAGACCTTCTTGGTCCCCTGAGGAGGAAATAAATGAATTCACTTTGTTGATCGAGCACTGGGGATGAACTGAGCTCTCTGTTCTTTTGCTAGTTTCATTGATGATCTCATGATAGAAAGCTGTGTTCTCACTTCACTTTGCCATCGAGCACACTGATATTAATACAGACTGTCCAGTGTTTACTACCCACGTAGTACAAAATGTAGTTATTTGATCCAGCAGAGTTTTTTCTTAACTCACCACAGCAGAATATTGTTCATTTAGAGACGCTGTAATAGAGATGATGCTGGACCTATAGCTCAGATCAGCAGAATTATGCTTGATTCCTCACATACATTTTCTGAAACACACATTTTCTGAGACCAGGGGCGTCACTAGGTTTAAGGACAGGGGAGGCTTAGCCCCAAGAGATGCATAGGATGTGAGCGAACGTAGCGCGCGAGCACAAATTTTCACAAACAGCTAACAAAGACTGAGAAATTATTTATTATTATTATTTCAGTCTGTTTTTTGAATACAGTACAAGAACAAACACAGGTTTGCACAGTAACAGTATGTTTACAGCATTAACAATAAAAGTAAGCCAAGTACACCATTTTTAAATAACATGGCTACAACTGCGAGTTACTTAGTGGGTGGAAGCATCAAAGAATGCCGTCTGTTTTTAAGGGTGGCAAATCGGTCTATCACTCTGTTGTGACTCATGCTGAAGCGTGTCTGTTTCAATTGACATGACTGCAAGACTGTTAAGTCTTTTCTGACCCATTGTTTGATGCAGCCAGGAGTGCAGCAGATGCAGTGCACTAAAGGACCTTTCACATGAGCAGCTGCTTACAGGCACTGTTAGGGCAACTTGTATGGTTGCCTTCAGAGAGGGAAACATGTCTGAATCAAGGAGGTTGTGCACAGACAACATATCTTTGGGTGAACATCCAGCCTCTGTTTTCCGGGCAAGAAAGTTTCTGGCCACCAGAACCTCCTCTGTTTTCAGGTCAATGCTGTAGTGTTTTGCAAGTTCATTCAAGTGTGATTCACTCAAGAAGTTCTCACATTTAGGACTGCATGCCTGGATGCCTTTTAGTAGCCCTGCATCTACACTGCAAAATCTTTGCTCAAGCTCGCCAACCATCCTCTCCACACAAGGGAAAAGTAACTCTCTTCTCAATGTGTCTGAGTTGTTCAATTCAGTGCGTGAACCTGCAGTTGCCTCCAGCACAAAATCCTCCATTTTCCTCTGTTTATTCCTTGTCTTGGCACCTGGTTCAGGGATACTGTGGGTGTGGCACAGGGCTTTGGTTCTCTCATACAGCTCTGTGGCAAATGCATCTGTGTGTGTGTCACACACTGCTTGTTTGCAGATCAAAGCCTCTACCAGGTCTAAAGTCTCTTTCTGAAGGAGCTTGTGGAGTCCTTCAGTTACAGACAGAAGTGACTGAAACATCAGTAGTGCATAGACTGCTGAGAACTTATAGAGCTTTGCTCTGAGACCAACAGCTATGAGGGATCCAATGGCAGAAAGGCACTCCAAAATGGCAGACAATGTCTCAAGAACTGCACTGATTGATCGCAACTGACATGCCCAGCAGTGTTTGAAAGTTGCACAAGCTCAATTGTTGTCAATCCAAGCCTTGTGTGAGCCTCCATGAACTTATGATGACTCACTAGGGAGGTGCTGAAGAAAGAGTACACACACTCCAACAAGCTGAAAAGCTCCACAGCCTCTGGGATGGCCTTGCAAGTGTGGCACAACACCAGGTTAAGTTCATGAGCATAACAATGCACATAGATAGCTTCAGGATGGAGCCTTCTAAAATGTGCTTGTACACCTCCAGTGGACCCACTCATGGCAGCTGCACCATCATATGTTTGTGCTACACACTTAAGCTTTGCAAGACCATTGTTTTGGATCTGCTGCTGCAGCTCATTTGCAATGGACTGGGCATCAAATGATTTTATCTCTGCAAGTGCTAGGAAACGTTCTTTCACTGCCCCCTCTGACACATACCTGACACAAACAGCTAACTGCTCTGATTTTTCATCCCTTGCCTCATCTGCCATGATGGCATAGATTTTGGACTTTGTCATTTCAGACACAATGACACTAATAACTTCCTGGGCACAACAGTCATCATGTCATTCTGGGATGTTGGTGAGATATAATGAGCATTTGATGCACGCAAGAAAATTCCCTCCGTTTGTGCTGTCTCTACCTTCATCATGGCCACGAAAAGGGAGTCCCTGTCTCCTTAACATAGACGTGACTGCAACAATTCACCTGAGATCAGGCATGGACAGGCATGGGCAATGCCCATTTTGCCATTAAGCTGACCGGAGTTGGAGAGAAGTGAGTGTGAGTGAGTGTGAAATGGATAAGAAACAACAAAAGCACAAGGGGGGTGCAGAGAAGCTCAGAGAAAAAAGGCTAAAAAGCCTACAAGTGGACGCAGCAAAATGTGCCAAAATCACTAATATGTTTGCAAGTTCGACTGCAGCAGCGGGTGCAGGGCCGTCGACATGTGCAGAAGCAGTCCCATCGAGTGCACAGGTGGATTCAGAGGAGGAGGAGGAGGAGGAGGAGAGAGACGTGACCCAGCAGCAGCAGGGACAGATTGAGGAGGAGGAGGTCAGATAGCTTCTGTCAGCCCGGTAAGAAGTAGCCGAAATGTTAGCAGAATGAAAAGAGATGTCTCATGTAGGGAGGGTGGAGGGCTGATGGGAATTGTGGCACTGTGGCCATCTCTCCCAAGATGAAAGTCTCTGTGAGTAGTGAAAGAGCGTATCAATTTTTTGAGATGGTTACTCTCTTCCATGTAGACTACTGCGCTTTATTTGAATTTTTTAAACAACACAATGTGCGCATATATCCTCTGGCAGAGGTGTTGTCTTAGACTTAGACTTAGACTTTCTTTATTGTCATTCAAACTTGTACTTTACAGTGCAGATAAGAACAAAATTTTGTTGCATTTTGCTCGTTGTAGTGCTAAAGGATAAAAACAGCAGCAAGTATTTACATAGAAAAATAAGGTGCAGATATAAATAGATATAAAAAGAAAAGCTATGAGTAAAAGTACTACACAGATAAATATATTGCACGTTTGTGATGTATGTTATATTGTATTTTACAGTCCAGTGAGGTAGTCCTGTGTGGGGGTTTGAGGGGGAATGGAGGGATTTTTTTTTTGTGTTCAAAAGTCTTATGGCCTGTGGGAAGAAGCTGTTACAGAACCTGGAAGTTCTGCTTCGGAGGCTGCGGAACCTCTTTCCAGATTCCAGCAGCGAAAACAGTCCTTGGTGGGGGTGGGAGGTGTCTCTGCTGATTTTCTGAGCCCTGGTCAGACAGCAGATTTTAGCGATCTCCTGGATGGGAGGAAGTGGAGTCTTAATGATTTTTTCTGCCGTCCTCACCACTCTCTGCAGGGACTTCCAGTCGGAGGCACTGCAGGCTCCGGACCAGACAGAGATGCAGTTTGTTATGATGCTCTCTATAGTGCCTCTGTAAAAGGTGGTGAGAATAGGAGGAGGGAGGTGTGCCGCAGAAAGTGCATGCGCTGCTGCGCTCTTTTCACAAGAGCTCCGGTGTGAAGGGACCAGGTCAGAGTGTCTGTTATCTGCACCCCCAGGAACTTTGTGCTGCTTACTCTCTCCACTGCTGTGCTGTTGATGAGGAGTGGTGTGTGGCTGGGCTGGCGCCTCCTGAAGTCGACGATGATCTCTTTGGTTTTATCGACGTTCAGGGTCAGGTTGTTGGTTCTGCACCAGTCAACCAGATGTTTCACCTCCTCTCTGTAGTCCATGTCGTTGTTATCACGGATGAGGCTCACTACTGTTGTGTCGTCTGCAAACTTCACGATGTGGTTAGTAGTGGTCCTGGCACAGCAGTCATGGGTCATCAGGGTGAACAGCAGCGGACTCAGGACGCAGCCCTGAGGGGAGCCGGTGCTCAGGGAGATGACACTGGAGGTGTTGTTGCCCACCCGCACAGACTGGGCTCTGTTTGTGAGGAAGTCAAGCAGCCAGTTACATAGGGGGGTGCTGAAACCAAGGGGGGCCAGTTTGCTCACCAGATGCTGCGGGATGATTGTATTGAACGCTGAGCTGAAGTCCAGAAAAACATCCGCACATGTGTGTCCTTCTCTTCCAGATGTTGTAAGCCCAGGTGGAGTGCAGAGGAGATGGCACCCTCTGTGGAGCGGTTAGGGCGGTAAGCAAACTGGTACGGGTCGAATGTGGGGGGAAGTCTGGAGACAATGTGGTCCTTTACCAGCCTCTCAAAGCACTTCATCATGATGGGGGTTAGTGCTACAGGGCGGTAGTCATTGAGTGAGCAGATTGTGGATTTTTTAGGCACTGGTATAATTGTAGCAGTCTTTAAACATGATGGTACCACAGCCTGGATCAGCGAGGTGTTGAAGATGTCTGTGAGAACCCCAGCCAGCTGGTCAGCACATTCCTTAAGCACCCGTCCCGGTATGTGGTCAGGGCCCGCTGCTTTCCGGGTGTTCACTCTCCTCAGGGTTCTCCGGACATCAGCTGTGTCCAGGCTGATTGGCTGCTCATCGGAGTGAGGAATAGATTTCCTCGCTGGAGTGGTGTTGAGTGCCTCAAACCTTGCAAAGTAGTTGTTGAGGTCGTTGAGGTCGTTGATGTTGTTGTCACAGGGGGGAGGAGTAGCTTTATAGTCTGTGATGACTTGTATGCCCTGCCACATTCGTCTGGTGTTCGTGGGGTCCTTGAAGAAGTCCTGCACTTTCTGCCTGTGAGCACGCTTTGCAACTTTTATGGCACAGTTCAGGTTGGCTCTGGCTGTTTTTAGTGCCACCATGTCGCCAGATCGCATACATCCTCTGGCAGAGGTGTAAAGAGTACTAATATATTCTACTCAAGTAAAAGTACTGTTACTTTGATAAAATTACAAGTAAAAGTACCAGTTTAAAAATGTACTCAAGTAAAAGTAAAAAGTAACTCGAAATGTTTAAAGGCTCTATATGCGATCTTTTGATCCAGCAGATGTCGCCCTTGAGCACCAGCATGAAACCAAAACAACTCACGCTGCATTGTTGTGTTAGCATGCTAATGCTAGCGATCTTTATTATGCTCGTATCTTCACACTGCATGTAAATT